GGAGGAGGTTAGAGAATTACTGTACATAAAGGAGGGGGTTAGAGAATTACTGTAATAATGGAGGACATTAGAGATTTACTGTAATAATGGAGGAGGTTAGAGAATTACTGTACATAATGGAGGAGCTTAGAGAATTACTGTAATAATGGAGGAGGTTAGAGAATTACTGTACATAATGGAGGAGGTTAGAGAATCACTGTACATAATGGAGGAGGTTAGAGAATCACTGTACATAATGGAAGAGGTTAGAGAATTACTGTACATAATGGAGGAGGTTAGAGAATTACTGTACATAATGGAGGAGGTTAGAGAATTACTGTATGTAATGGAGGTTAGAGAATCACTGTACATAATGGAGGAGGTTAGAGAATTACTGTAATAATGGAAGAGGTTAGAAAATTACTGTACATAATCGAGGAGGTTAGAGAATTACTGTACATAATGGAGGAGGTTAGAAAATTACTGTACTTAATGGAAGAGGTTAGAGAATTACTGTATGTAATGGAGGTTAGAGAATCACTGTACATAATGGAAGAGGTTGAGAATCACTGAACATAATGGAGGAGGTTAGAGAATCACTGTACATAATGGAGGAGGTTAGAGAATCACTGTACATAATGGACGTTAGAGAATCACTGTACATAATGGAAGAGGTTAGAGAATCACTGTACATAATGGAGGAGGTTAGAGAATTACTGTACATAATGGAAGAGGTTAGAGAATCACTGTACATAATGGAGGAAGTTAGAGAATTACTGTACATAATGGAAGAGGTTAGAGAATCACTGTACATAATGGAGGAGGTTAGAGAATCACTGTACATAATGGAGGAGGTTAGAGAATTACTGTACATAATGGAGGAGGTTAGAGAATTACTGTACATAATGGAAGAGGTTAGAGAATCACTGTACATAATGGAGGAGGTTAGAGAATCACTGTGCATAATGGAGGAGGTTAGAGAATCACTGTACATAATGGAGGAGGTTAGAGAATCACTGTACATAATGGAGGAGGTACATAGAAATTATGCCATAGATATTATGCATAGATTAGTATGACTGAGAATGAAATCATGGAGGGTTTAGTGTATAGGAAGGTGGCAGTTACTGTGGGCAAGTATCATTAAAAGAACCAGTGTAAGTTTAGACTTGAAGGAGGAACTGAGAGATGGTTTGTTGTGACCAGTTACAGTATAAGATTAATGCAAATCCATCAGCCAGTGAATCATAGACCATATAAATCTGTACACACATATACATGGGAGTGTATTTTTTCTGTTCCTATGTCCATCTGGCCATGCATGGGGTATTGCTGTGAGCATGATAACTGGAACAAGTATTGTACTTGTAGACTTTAACGAGATTTGTTTTGTAGATACAATCTATCACAGCAAGACATTTAAGGAATTAAATTTTCTGTCATGACTATATAGAGTTGAGATTCCTTGAGCTCAAGACCTCTTTCACATGAGCATAGTTTTGATGCATGACCGTATGTCACTCGACTTAGAAATCAATGGAGTTCAATGGTACCTTTCACATGGACGTCCATTGAACTCCATTGATTTCTAAATCATGCGTCAGAAAAACGCTCGTGTGAGAGGCCTTATTGTAGTTTGGTGAGGAATTTACTTATCAGTGCTGACAATCTTCCTATGTCCATAGGTCTCTATAGAAACTGGTTAAATAAACTTAATTACATATTGTGTTGGCATATAATTTAGGTGTTGATGTATTGATTCTAATATGATGATAAAGAGATGGTTAGGTAAATTGTTTAGGCCATATTTGGTGTGGATAGTATCAATAATGAAATTGCATGGAACCTTATCTTCTCATATTTGTTAAAAGACATTTCATTGAGAATTAGTAAGATAGGTAGGAATCGAGTCATCTTAATGTTGATATTGTGCATTGACTTTTGTATGATTTAGTTTTATTTATTTTATTATATTTTTTAATAATTGTTTTTCTTCTTGGCAGACACTGTTTCAGACTAATCCATGCAAGCATCCAATTGTCTTCCTGAAGGATGTTAAGGGGCAGGAGTTGGAGGCTTTAATAGAGTTTATTTATAAAGGAGAGGTGAGAAATTCTCTTTATGTCTAAGTGAGGATAAATTATGGTAGATAGTAGCAGTGTTTTTACCTTTTCCTGTTTTAGGGAAAACTTTTCCTTTTGTGAGTGCAACATTACTCACAGAAGTTCCATTTCTATAGCTCTCTCTCCTAATAATGCTGAAAGTTTGAAAAAACTGTACCTAACCAAAACTAACAAAGAAATACAAAAGTATAATAACTCAATAAATCAATAGAGAACACCAGTAAATGTGCAATTAATTGGACACTCACCATGAATACATTATAATAATAAATGAGAATACAGTGTATATATATATATTGCTGGGGGATGGTTTTGACTTATTCATGGCTTTCTTTATCTCACTCCTGCAACTTCTCCTAGGTTCTTCTCACAGAGAGAAGGACACTGGTGTAGAAGCCAGAGGAGGAAGGGTTAGACATAGCTGTAGCTTCCATACTTTCTTTCTCCCTAAACTTTGTACATCCCAGACAGAGCAACATAGGACACTCTCAGGTTCTTGGGTCAGCACCTCAACATCATGTGATAGAAGAGAGGGAAAAAAAACAAAACAGTGTTGGCGCTTTCATTTGTATAACAAAGCACAGGGTAAAAATTTCTAACACTGGAAGCCACTCAATTCAAAGTACTAGTCCCTGACCTGATGCATTGGGTTGGCAAACAAATAGTACCTGCATAGTGAACCCTAGTTGGTGGAGTGGACGCAGGTTGTAATGAAGTGGTGCAGTCCAAAGTAGCTTGGCCATGACTTTTTTAAGTTGAATGACACATAAATATGCAGCTCAAAGTAAATAGTATTGATTAATTTATGAATTTTGTATATGCAAAAATATATACGTACAATAACTTTAAATTTACAGGGTAGAAATAATAGAAAGGGGGGTGTAAGAGAGGAAAAGAAGTATAAATCACCTTTTAATTGTTTATAAAATACAGAATACACCCATGCCATGTTAAAAAGTGAATAAAGTATTACAGTACAGTACTTATGAAATGATAGTCTAGCATGCAAAGGCCAAGAATATGCAAGTCTAAGTCATATAAATATCTCAACACTGTATTGCTAATGTCTTGATATGAGCTGTGGGGTCACGAGATCTCATGGTTTAGTAATGCACATATTTTTGTTTTGTTTTGACAGGCACTGAGGTGGCAGGGAAACTTTTGTGTATCTACATTACAGGCAACATCTGTTAGGGCTGAGAGAACCTATACTTCAGCTGGGGAGGGGACATAGCAAAGGAATTTAGCAGTTGTTCATTATTTCAAGGCTACCTAAAGTAGGACCCCCTCTCTTCTCTTCTTAGGTTAGGTTACCTCTCTCTTTCTCATATATATATATATATATATATATATATATATATATATATATATATATATATATATATATATATATATATATATATATATATATATATATATATATATATATGTGTGTATATATATATGTATATATATATATATATATATATATATATATATATATATATATATATATGTATATATATATTATATATATATGTATATATATATATATATATATATATATATATATATATATATATATATATATATATATATATATATATATAATATATATATATAATATATATATATATATATATATATATATATATATATATATATATATATATATATATATATATATATATATATATATATATATATATATATATATATATATATATATACAGTGACCCCTCGTTTAACGAACACCTCGGTTAACGTAATTTCGATTAACGAACTGCCTTCCATAAGGATCTTCAATTCGGTTAACGAAAAAAAATTCGCTTAACGAACTTCTTACGAACCGACCTCAACATGTTTTCGCTTGCACTGACAGGGCAACCAGCTTTAGTATCAGTCCGCCAATACATTAATCGGTTCTAGGGCTTAAATTCCTTACTATTTTTGTAAATATCAAGAAGTTTATACTATTCAATAATTTTAAAAGTTTAATATTCAATTTTTTAGTCATTTTAACAATTATTGAACAAAATTGAAGGTAAAGTGACTAGTTTAATGCGCGGCATCCAGCCTCTTAACACAGCAAACAGGCGTCAGTCTCTCTCTGTTTTCACTGGAGGTAACATCTTGCTTGAGACTCTTCAACTAAACGCTTTTTTTCTGTGTTTCCAAGCAAATTATTGGTCATTTTGAAATATATTTTATATATTGACAATATATAATGCAGTGCAGCGTTGATTTAAAGAAAATAATCTTGAATTAAACCAGAGAGCTAAAATTTTATGGGTGAAAGGGCACCACGGGGTGACTTCTCTTCCACCCCAATGCCTTCTCTTCTTCCTTCTCCTCCACCCCCATTCTAAATCCCATCATCATCATTATCATCCAGGAGCCTTCTACATGCACACCTCAAAGTAAGTGAACTTTCTACCATTTTTGTTGAATTTAGGAAATTTTCGGTGAGCTGGAACCAATTACCCAAAAACCCATTGAAACAATGGTTTCGGTTAACGAACGACCTTCTGGAACGGATTGAGTTCGTTAACCGAGGGGCCACTGTATATATATATATATATATATATATATATATATATATATATATATATATATATATATATATATATATATATATATATATATATATATATATATATACAGTATATATATATATATATATATATATTTTTATATATATATATATATATATATATATATATATATATATATATATATATATATATATATATATATATATATATATATATATATATATATATATATATATATATATATATATATATATATATATATATATTAGTATGCTATAACGAATGTAATTGGTTCCAGAACCTCGTTTGTTATAGCATTCATTCGTTATAGGATTAATCCGTTCCAGGCCCCTAAATACAACCACTTAACACTGAAAAAATTCTGTGGAAAATGTAAAAAATACGGTACTTTATCTTACCTTAGTGTTGTTCAGCATGCAGGACAGGAGGCAGAGGGGGAGGGGGGAGGAGAGAATTACAGAGAAGAGGTGGAAGGAGAAGGAGTCATCCTTCCTAGCCCTCTTTGGTGTCTCACAGGCACTTTGTCTGTAGGTTCTTTTGTTACCTTTGTAAAGAAGGAATCCAGGGTTGGCTGTTTCAACCTTGATTTCTGGACCTTCCAAAAGTAGTTCATAACATTGTCATTAAACACACTGATGGCCTTTTGTACAGAACCAATATCAGGATGATAATCCTCAGCAAGTTTGGACAGTTTCCTCCAGCAAAAGAACGCATCCTTGAGATCTTTGGCTGGAATGATGCGGCTTTCCTCCTTGTCCTCCTCCTCCCCTGACTCCTCAGAAGTTAAGCTATGCTTCAGTGTCTCATTTTCCTCTTTGTGAAGCTCAAGCAGCTCCTCAGTGGACAATTCCTTACTGTGTTCTTCCACCAACTCCTCAACATCATCATCATCCACTTCCAGGCCCATGGAATTGCCCAGAGACACAATTTCATGAACAACAGTCTCTTCTTCTAACTCTTCGAAGCCTTCAAAGTCTCTTTGAAGGACACATTTAGGCCACAATGGCCTCCAAGCAGCACAAAGACACCTCACAGTAACCTCTTTTCAGGCTGAGGTTATTAAAAAAACAGCGTCTGCTATATTGAAGTGACTCTAACAAAATTCCTTCAAGCTAACATCACTGGAAGAAGTGGATGCAAAACATTTTCTAAACAGTGCCTTTGTGTACAGCTTCTTAAAGTTAGAAATTACCTGTTGATCCATGGGCTGGATGAGAGGTGTTGTGTTGGGTGGCAAGAAGTGCACAGTGATGAAGTTGAACTCCTCTGGCAATTCAACCATCAAATTAGGAGGGTGGGCTGGTGCATTGTCCATCACCAACAAAGCTTTCAGTGGAAGATTATTCTCCCTGAGGTATTCCCGAACACTGGGTCCAAACACCTCAATCACCCACTCAGAGAATAAATTCCTGGTCACCCAAGCTTTTGGGTTTGACCGCCACATAACACCAAGGCGGGTCTTCCTAATTTTTTTGAAAGCTCTGGGGTTTTCTGCATGGTACACAAGGAGTGGCTTTATTTTGCAGTCACCAGAAGCATTAGCACAAAGAAGGAGGGTAAGCCTGTCTTTCATTGGCTTATGGCCAGGGACAGAAGTTTCCTCCTTGGTAATGTATGTACGGCGAGGCATTTTTTTCCAAAATAGTCGTTTCATCACAGTTGAATACCTGCTGAGAAACAAAGCCTCCCTCTTTAATCACATTCAAAAAAATTTCATGGTGTTCCTTAGCTGCTTCCTTATCGGCACTAGCAGCATCACCATGTCTCACAACACTATGTATTTTATTTCTCCTTCTGAAACCAGTAAACCACCCCTTGGTACCCCTAAACACTGGCACATCACTATCACTTGCACTGGGAGTCTTGGCTTTAAGGTCCTCAAACAATTGTCTGGCCTTCTCACAAATTATAGCTTCACTAATGCTATCACCTGCCATTTCTTTCTCCCTTATCCATACTCAGAGTAAATTTTCCATCTCCTCAATCACATTACACCTTGCTTTGCTAAGTCTAGAGATTCCCTTAGCCACTTGCACTGTTTTCAACTCTTTATTCTTTAAAATCGTACATATAGTCGATTTAGCCATCCCATACTCATCACTAAGTTTCGCAATGCTTGTTCCATCCTCACGTTTCTTTATGATTTCTTTCTTAGTTTCAAGAGTTATGAGCTTTCTCACTCGCTTTGGATGATTCATTGTCACAATTGTACACTTGTATAACAAAATATTTATACAAATAACTCTATTTCCACATCAAAAGACGAAATTTCAACAATAACAGTGGTGCACTGGCTACACAATGAGACAAAGATGGCGCCTGACGCTCTTGTTGTGGGTCGCGGTACAACAATATTCATGCACCAGGCGAAATAGTCCGGTATTCATCCGCGTTCGTTGTAGGAGTTGCGTTCGTTATAGCATTCTC